GATTAAAAAATTAAACAGATAAGATAAAAAAATTAAACAGATAAGAAAAAAAATTGAACAAATAGATAAAATTTGAACAAATAATCAACGAAAAACTCAACAGATAAAAAAGAGTCAACAAATAAATTAAGGGTCAAATTAAAAACAAAATATTCTTTTATACTTCTCATCAAACCATTTCATAAAAATGAACCTTTTAACAAAATTAAACAAATCTATACTATATATTAAGTAAAAAGAGGTTTTTAACCCACAAGTCTTGTGGGAGCTCCAATATCCCAATCCTAATTTTCTAATTTTTTGATTAAAAAAAAAAAACTCAGCATTTATTAATTTCTCTCAATCCCCATGCCTTTTGGGAGATTTGGTTAAAACCCCCTCATAATTATTTAATCATTTTATTTACTATTTTAATGGTTCTTCTTTACAATTATTTTTTTTATTATGAAAAAAATATGATTGTAATTAGATAGCATAAAAATATTTGTGATTTGTATGATGTATTTGGTCTAGCCAAAAAAAAAAATTTATAATTTGTATTTGGTTTAGCAATTTCTTCTTTTATGTACTATTTTAATAGTTCTTTTAATAGTTCTTTTGATTGAAGTTATCTCCTTTTGTGATTTGTAAAAAAAAAAATTGTAATTTATTTTTTTAATATGATTGAAGTTAGATAAATATAAATAAACCCACAAGTCTTGTGGGAGCTCCAATATCCCAATCCTAATTTTCTAATTTTTTGATTTAAAAAAAAAAAACTCAGTATTTATTAATTTCTCTCAATCCCCATGCCTTTTGGGAGATTTGGTTAAAACCCCCTCATAATTATTTAATCGTTTTATTTACTATTTTAATGGTTCTTCTTTACAATTATTTTTTTATTATGAAAAAAATATGATTGTAATTAGATGGCATAAAAACATTTGTGATTTGTATGATTGAAATTATCTCCTTTTTTGATGTATTTGGTCTAGCCAAAAAAAAAAAATTATAATTTGTATTTGGTTTAGCAATTTCTTCTTTTGTGTACTATTTTAATAGTTCTTTTAATGATTCTTTTGATTGAAGTTATCTCCTTTTGTGATTTGTAAAAAAAAAAATTTATAATTTATTTTTTTAATATGATTGAAGTTAGATAAATATAAATACTCACAAAGAGAAAAATGTGATTGTAATTAGTTCAACAATGATGTGATTATAGTTAGTTCAATGATTCTTTTTTTTAATGAGATTGTATTGTAATTAGTTTAATGGTTCTTTTTTTTATTTGTTTTTTTTATTATGAGAAAAATGTGATGTGATTGTAATTTGTTCAATGGTTCTATTTTTTAATATGATTGTATTATAGTTAATTCAATGGTTCTTTTTTTTCATTTACTTTTTTTTATTATGAGAAAAATGTGATGTGATTGTAGTTTGTTCAATGATTTTTTTTTAATGTGATTTAATTGTTTTATTTACTGTTTTAATGGTTCTTCTTTACGATTATTATTTTTGTTATGAAAAAATATGATTGTAGTTAGATAGTATAAAAATATTTGTGATTTGTATGATTGAAATTATCTTCTTTTTTTATTTGTATTTGGTCTAGCTAAAAAAAATTATAATTTGATTTTTTAATATGATTGAACTTAGATAAATATAAGCACTCACAAAGAGAAAAATGTGATTGTAGTTAGTTCAACGGTTCTTTTTTTTTAATGTGATTATAGTTAGTTCAATGGTTCTTTTTTTTTAATATGATTGTATTGTAATTAGTTTAATGGTTCTTTTTTTCATTTATTTTTTTTATTATGGGAAAAATTTGATATGATTGTAGTTTGTTCAATGGTTCTTTTTTTTAATGTGATTGTATTGTAGTTAGTTCAGTGGTTCTTTTTTTTCATTTATTTTTTTATTATGAGAAAAATGTGATGTGATTGTAGTTTGTTCAATGTTTTTTTTTTAACGTGATTTAATCATTTTATTTACTGTTTTAATGGTTCTTTTTTATAATTATTTTTTTATTATGAAAAAAATATTATTGTAGTTAGATAGTATAAAAATATTTGTGATTTGTATGATTGAAGTTATCTCATTTTTTTTTTATTTGTATTTGGTCTAGCCAAAAAAAAATTATGATTTGATTTTTTAATATGATTGAAGTTAGATAAATATAAACACTCACAAAGAGAAAAATGTGATTGTAGTTAGTTCAACGATTATTTTTTTTAAATATAAATTGGTCAGAAGAATGTCTATACATTTCAGAAGGTTAAAAAAAAATGTAAGTATAACATTTTTACTTTATAACATTTTACAAATACATAATATATGTATTGTTCATTAATTATAATACTAAGCCTTTGTTTGGCAATGACTTTTTTAGTTGGTTTTTTGGCCTTTTTGACTTTTTTAGCTTGAGACTTTTTTGTTCGTTTGGTATTCTTGATTGGATTTTTGGATTTTTAGCTTTTGAATAGTGGATTTTTTTTTTTTTTGTCTTTTTGTGATTTTTGGCTTTCTGTGATTTTTTGAATATTTTTTTTGTCTTTTTGTAATTATTTAGCCAAATATGATAACCAAACACCACCTAACTATCATGTTGACAATGCAAGAATACTGATGGAATACTCACAACAATTTAGATTTTAGTTATATTTTTATTTTACTTATTCAGTGAATTTCGAACAAATGTAATAAATTTTTATTTTTATTACTTTAATTATGCAATGTCAATATTTTCTTTTAAAATTACATATATTTTATGCTAATAATTCATAAATATGGTTGACATAATATAAATAGTTTTTTTTTTTAAAAATTTAATCCCGTACATACCACGGATGATAGGCTAGTTTTAAATAAGCCAATGAGCAGCCTCCAATCTTATTAGCAACCAAGAACTTCTCTCACATTTTGGAAAATTACAGACACCGACGTATCAAATTTTGTGTGGTCAAACGTGGCATTGTATGAGCTCGGCAACTAGAAAGTTCCACTCACTAGTCACTTTATCAAAAATAAATTTATTGGCACATTTTAAAATTTTAAAAAGTTATATATAAATTATAATTTATTCAAAACAATAAATCTTATAATCAAAAAAATATACTAATCTCATTTAAAATTAAGAATTCTATTTTTATGGATGAATGAAATTTTGTATTCAAGAAAATTGTACGGTGTCAACCTCTCTAGGGTTACATATCATATTCATCCTATCATAAAATGATATAATTTTATTGTAAAATTTTATAACATAAATTATAAAATGTATAACTTCATCACAAATTAACATAACAAAAAATGTCATAACTAATCCACAAATTTTTGTTACAATGAATCATAAAATTTTAAACATTTTACTACGCTAATTTATGACGAGGTTACGAAATTTTATGATAAATTATATCAATTTATAGTAAGGTGTATGGTATACACCCTAAAAGCTTTCCCTTTTATTTATTCTCACACTTTCAAAATGTATGAATAAAATTGTACTCACTAAAGCTTTGTTTAGGAACATATTTTTTTAGTAATTTTTTTATTTTTTGGCTAAAATATAATATAAAAAAAACTAGTATGTTGGGGATGACTTTTTGGTTTTTTACAAAAAAATGTGTAAAAAGTAGAGAGAAAATAGAATGTTTGACTTTTTAGTATAGGTTGTTGGCTTTTTTATTTTTTTAATAAATTTTTGATTTTTTAGCTAAAATCACCACTTACCGAGCAAGACCTAAATCTAAAACAAACGCAGTATTCGTTTTGGCAAGATGGTTAAATTAAAAAATTAATAAGATAAAATGTCATATTTAAATCATGATCATTTAATTTTTTTTTTACAAAAACTATATATATATAATAAAAAATTAAAAATTAAAAATAAAAAATAAAAACTCATCCAATTTTTTTAACTAAATTAAAATAATCAAAAAAAAAACCAAAAAAACTAAACTGAAAACGTTCTTCCCAAATCCACCAGATGAGTTCTTTGTGGTGGATGTGTTGGCCACGTCACCCCGACACAGCATGTGTAGACAAAAATGAGGCCACGTGACCCAATGACCGTTTGGGGTCCAAAGTAGATGATGACGTGGAACTTCAACATCCACCAATTTGGTTCCACTTTCAATTGAGTAGTCACCCACGTGACTCCCTCCTCAATTTTTTGCTGTGTCTAATTAATTTTGGAAAATGTTAGAGGGACATAATTTTTGTGGTCATAATGACTTAAAATTGTTAAAATGACGTCGTTTTAGGTGTAAAAGATGTCAAAACAACGTCGTTTTAGTAGTTTTGAGTCATTGTGGCCACAAAAATTGTGACCGTCTAGCATTGTTGATTAATTTTTGAATTTTGTTAACATTTACAGACATAAATATTTTATATTTTACATTTTATATAAAATATTTTAAATTTTCTTAATACACGCTAATAAGACTTTTAATTTTTGTTAATATATTTATTATTATTAAATTATGCATCAATTTTTCTCTTAATTTATTTATTAAAATTGCATGAAATTTGAAGAATAAAGAAATTGGTGGACAAGGAATCCTTAATCTCCACCTTACTTAAGTTAATACTTTTAAAGTCCACTTTGTGACATGTCCACCTTATATTCTCAATTATAATGAAAACTACATAAAAAGATAGATATTGCAACTATTTTTATTAATTTAAAAACATCACATTAAAATATTGAATTTATAATCTAAAAATAGTCAATAAATCCACTTTATTGGCCAGTTTAGTACAGCTTATTATAAAGCTGATAATCAAAAAATAAAAATTAAAAGTACATCTTCCAAATATTTAGATAATTAATTTTTTAAACTTATTTAAATTATTTTCACCTAATAAAATATAAACAACAACTGTACCAAACAATCTGATATAGATTCAAAAATTAAAATCACACAGCCCCATTGTGGGGTCCAAAGTAGTAGAAGATGTGGAACTACCACATCCACCAATTCATTTGCTCTTCATGGCCTATATATATCACCCTAGGAAACCCTTATTCACATCTCATAAGTGTTTCATCAATCAATAGCCTCTCTCTACATATATCAAACTTGTTACTTCCTATTAGACTTTCTATTTTTCAAATGGCCACGTCAGCAATGCAGTCCATCCTAGCAAGACCAGTGTCAGGTGTCACGGCGAGAGCAAGGTTCAGTCAGTTCACTCCTTGCAACTACGTGCCACGTCTTCAGAGGAATGCTGGCATGCAAGTGCGGTGCATGGCAGAGGTAGGCCTTGTGTTCTTTTTGTTACCGTTGATCAGTCTTTCGATCAATCCAGTATAAGTGTTGAGTTACATGATTTGATGTTTAATGGATTTGGGAGAAATCTAACCGTTTGATTGTTTGACTGGACAGGATGATCAAAATAAGGATGTGACACCCATTACAACTCCTCCGCCGGCATCACAGCCAACCCCTTTTCCTCCACCGAAGCCAAAGGTAATAGTAGTGCACTATTTAACTTCACCAACTTTTTTTGATTAATTTCATATAATTATCTCAATGATATTACAAGACGAAGAAATGTTTACCTAGATTTAATGGTCTTTTTACCTCTTTGGTTATGTTTGGCACGTGGTTTTGTGGCTATTTTAGTCAAAAATAAATAAATAAATAAAATAAATTAAAAAATTAATAAGATAAAATATTATATTTAAAATATAATTATTTCATTTTTTTTTAATAAAGTTAAAAAAGTCAAAAAGTCTATCCTAAACGTGATTTTTTAGTCTCATATTAAAATAAATAAAAAGTTAAAAAGTCAAAAAATAAACTAACATCTCAAAATGAAAGCTTTATAATTTTACAAAAGTTGCCCTTAGATAATATATATATTTAATTTTCATCCTATTACTTTTTAATTTGTTTACACTTTACACCCTATAAACATATAAGCTTTACACTTTCCACTTTATCTTTATTGTAAAAGTTAAACTTTGCACAAGTAGTTTTCACTACCTTTTTTTTGTTTTCCACTTCAATAATCATTAAAAAAAAAAAAAAATTTAAGAGCGTAAACTGTAACTTTCACAAAATTACAGAGTACAAAGTTCAAGGTTTGATTCTACCAAAAATACTAAAAATTTACAAAAACAAAAACAAAAGCAAAAGCAAAAGCCGAAGAAGATAAGTGATAAATGGTCACCTCACCAAGTCTCTTAAATAAATTCAAAATTGTTAAGAGAAGTCTCAAAATTTACAAAATCATTCATCTTAGATTTTGATAATGTGTTTATATTATTAATAATAATACATTATTAACCATGACAGGTAAGTACCAAATTTTCTGACGTGTTAGCATTCAGTGGACCCGCACCGGAGAGAATCAACGGCAGGCTGGCGATGATCGGGTTCGTGGCCGCGATGGCGGTGGAACTATCGAAGGGTGAGGATGTGTTGGCCCAGATATCCAATGGTGGAGTTTCATGGTTTGTGGGGACAAGCATTGTGCTAACCCTAGCATCTTTGATACCTCTATTCAAAGGGGTGAGTGTGGAGTCTCGTTCAGAGGGGATTATGAGCTCTGATGCTGAGCTCTGGAATGGGAGGTTTGCTATGTTGGGTTTGGTTGCATTGGCTTTCACTGAGTTTGTCAAAGGTGGAGCCCTTGTGTAGGTCCCACTTTTTTTTTTTATGTAATTTTGATGACGTGTAATTTTGATTATTTATGAAGAAAAAAAAAATCAATTTCATACAAGATAGACTTCGTAAAGTTGTAGCAATATTAATATCGAAATAATGTACTATCTTTCTAGAAAGAGCATGCCGTGGTAGTTTTCTATTAAACAAATTTTAATGATATTTGTTGTCAAATTATTATAGGCTCCATTTGGGAATCATAGGCTGCATTTGGTTTGTTTGTAATTATGATTTCAAATATAAAATTTTCAAAACACTTTTTAAAATTTACAATTAAACATTCAATTCAAAACTATACATAATTAAATTAAAAATTAATTTCACTACTCATAACGGAACACATAGTACAAATTTTTTTTCAAAACTCTTTTGATGATATAGTGTTGAAGATGGTTAGTGATGAAATAATTAAATTTATTTTTATAAAAAATCTGAAAATATAATTTTTATATTTAAAAAATATCTAAAACAAATTTATTTATTTTTTTCAAATAACAAGTTGCAATTGTAAAAAAGAAAAAAAATCAATGTTTTGGCCAGAGGTCTGGAAGGATGTTGGAATGGATGATCGGGTAAACCCAATCCGCTCTATTCAAAATTGAAAATTTAAAAATACTTTTTAAAATTCATAACCAAACAAACTTTTTATTTTCAAGACTCAACTCACAATTCTAAACTCAAATCACAACTCCAAAAAGAGAATCATAATTTTAAAACTAAACCAAACACAGCCATAGATTTTAGTCTAAAAAAAAAAATCACATGAAACATGGACACCAAATATTCGCATCATCTTAAGCTTTGAAACGAGATCAAGAATTCTTCAATTATCTGCATAACTGTTTCTGTGTGTGTTTTTTCTCCTGATTTTATTTGAAGTCTCTCTTTTCACCAAAATTTTTGCATTTCATTAAGAAATTAAAAATTCTACTCGATGTAGTTTTATTCACCTGATTTTATTTAAGGTGTCTCTGCCTCTTTAATAGTTATATATATATATAATTGAAATTTATTGTACTTTGTCAAATAATAAAATAAAAAAAACTCAAATTTTTTAGATCATTAAAAAAAAACCCAAATTGATATGCCTTGCCAAGGATACCAAGTGTGATATTATTAAACGTGGCAACATAGCAAATAGGATTTGTAATTAAATAAATCTATGAACTCAAAACTTTTAACGTGAAGTGTACCACGAACGATAATGTGGGGGTGTAAATTCAATTAGCGTATGATTGATCCTAGGATTAAATTTGAACATGTTAGGTTTTTCAAGTAAAATTCTAAATAAATTTTTTTAGTTCGTATCATTGCTGTTTGGAATTTGCTGTAGTGGCAGCTAGAGAATGCCAATGGGAAAAGATGGTGACTATTGCGGAGAGATGATGTCAAAACATTTCCACTTCTATTATTTCATAAAACCTTTGACAACACAGGATTTTCCTATGTTTCACCATGCACCAAAATTATCCAAACCATTTGAACAATGAAAAATGAAAATTCACATTTGTGAATAATAATAACTTCGATTCAAAATGAAAGATCATCTGAACAAACCATTATCATAGATTCAATAATACAATGGCAAATTTCAATACAAAAAACTTTCGTCATTCAAACATGAATATGAAGAGGGGTGCGACATAGTTGTCGATTGTTTCAACTTCTAATGACTTGCTAGACAGCCTAAGCATAAATATTTCACTTTTGTGAGGGGGTGATTTTTACATGCAACCTTGAAAGGCCTACCAAATTTTCGGGGAGGCCTACATTCAAAAATTAATTAGGCAAGATGACAATAACCTATAGTAAGACACTTTAGACCTGTAAGAATAATTTTAGACCTATGCAGATAAAAGAAGCATTGCAATATTCTATAATACGTGTATATTTCTTTGGTAAAGGACAACTCAGCAGGAGCTTTTCTTTCTAGAGATTTCTGACGGCCTCAACAAGCTTTAAAAGAAACTATTGTAATATAGATTTAAGTTTTTTTTATGTCTAGGAATAAGAGTTTGAAAGCTTCTCTCCTATATTTTTATATTGATTTTTGAATTTTCAACACCCACCACCATAATTCTTTCTTCTCTCTATCCTCCTCCCTTGCAACTTCTATGAGAAGATTAGTGAATTTTCCAAGATTGCTAACCTTTGCTTGGTTTAGAAAATTGACACCAAGGATCCTCTAGAGTGAAATTTTCCTAAAGTTTCCTAGAGTAGTAAATTGATGTGACTTGCCAGTAAATCTCAACCACACAATGTAGCACTCTAGGAAACTTTAGGGAAAAATCACTCTAGAGGATCCTTGCTCGAAAATTGAACCTACTTTTCAAATTAGTGAGTTTTTTTTTTTTTTTTTCGTGTTGGTTTTAGTCAAAAATTTTAATGTTTTAACAATTTTTTTTATTCTTTAGATGCATCTACCCTAGGGGTGGGCATCAGCCTGTTCACCTGTCCAACCCACGTGGCCCTATGTTTTTAGAGTTTGGAAAAGTTATTTTAGTCCATAGGCTTGAGCTGAGGCAACATGTTCAGCCCGATATATTAATGGATTGGGCTTGATATCTATACTTTCAACCTAGCCTAACTCGATCCGCTATTAAATTAATTAATTAAATATAATATATTGAAATATATATTTTTTGTTGGGATCTAGACTCTATTTTTGTTGATTTTATTAAAACTCACATTTGTGGTGATGTGTGGTTGAATTTATTTAAGAAATTCTTCAATTCATATACAAAATCCTTCAATTTATAATGATGTCAATTTATTTATTTAGGAAATATAATGTGTGATCAAATTTTATGAAATGTTTTAAAAAAAATTAACAATAGCTTGATGGGTTGGCTTGGGATTTATAATTATTTTTTGGGACAAGCTTGGGCAGATGTAGAAGTAAGAAGTTGGGGTTGGGCTGATTTAGCTAGACACAAAATCCCTTATTATGTAGTATCAACCCGGCCCGAACCTAGCTTGATCTGACAAATGCCCACCCCTAATACACTTAAAAATATAATATTTATAAATAAAATTTAAAAAAAAAATTCTTAAAAAAATTCATCAAATATAAAAAATACAAAAAATTATTACATTTTCGTATTCTTGTGCAATTATTGAATTTTTTAAATATTTCTTTCACAAATATTTTACTTTTTAAGGTGCATCTAAGTTGTATGTATCTAGAAAGTAAAAAATTTACTTAAAATATTAAAAAAATAACTAAAAAATAAAAACCACAAAAAATAAAAAAGCTTAATTTTCAAAAAATCAATTAAAACCAAACAAAGTATGTGTATAATTTCTAATTTGGCTCTTTGGGCTTTGTTGTTTTTTATATTTCTTGTTTTGTATGATGCTTATTTTTCTTTTAATATAAATGCGTTTTAGCCTTTCTTCTTCTTCTTTTTTTTTTTTTAATAAAATAACCAAAAACTTCTTTGCACTACAAAAAAATTGTTTTTTTGCGACAGCAAAACGCCGTCGCAAATATCTCAAACGCCGTCTCAAAAGATTTTTTGCGACGGTAAGTGGCTTTTTTACGACAGCAAGTGGGGGGTCGCAACAAAGGGAGTTGCAAAAGGGTTTTAGTGACGGCATAACGCCATTGCCTTTTGTTTGCGACGGCAAAATGCCTTTTTTGCGACGGAAAAATTCTGTCGCAAATAATGCGTGAAAATCTAAATTTTTTTGAGACGACACTGTGTTGCCGTCGCTAAAATGGTTTTTTGCGACGGCAAAAATACCATCGTTAAAAGTTTATTTGAGACAGCACCTTCTGCCGTCGCTGAAGGACTATTGGCGACGGCAATAACACAATCGCTAAAGACCCTACTTTTCAACCAAATCCCCTATCTTTTGCGACAGTAAAGCTACCGTCGCAAAAAATCCGGTTTCAATTTTCTTTTTGAGACGGTGTGTGCTGCCGTCTCAAAAAAAAAAAAAACTGTATTAAAATTATTAAGAATATGAAAAATAACTTTAAAAAAAAAACCGATAATTACATAATAATATAAATACATACATAAACAAAAGTTGGCACATAATGAAAATTCATAATGTTGTTCCATTCATAACAATACATAAATAAAAATTCATAACAATAAAAATTATCCCACGACTTAATGTCGCATAATACATACATAATGTTGTTCACAAATCTAAATAACGTAAATCAAAACCAAAAGTTTTCATCATGATTCTTCCGTAAGTTACAAAAACAAAAGTTGGTCATAATCTTTACACGCCCGCATTTCAAAAGAAGCAAACTGCTACTCAAGAAATATCTGAAAATAACAAAATAAAAATAATTAATGACAATATAATGGTGTTAATATTTTAATTACAAAAAAACACAAAAAATTAACTACTATATAATTACAAAGATAGTTTAGTAAATAATTTTGGTTAGACAGAAATATGGCCCTAACTCCCAAACCGAAAACCCGATTGGAGTCCCGTCTTCTCCCATAAGTCTCTCGTGCCTAGGCAGTCATGTGTGCCAAGTTTCGTGTTAAACCGACGTCATTTGGTGATTTGGGGGGTCAACATCTCGAATTCAAGTTTTTTAAGGAACTAGTTTGCCTAGACCGAAATCCGGCTCTAACTACCAAACCGGGAACCCAATTAGAGTCCCGTCTTCTCCCACAAGTCTCTCGTGCCTAGGCGGTCGTGTGTGCCAAGTTTCGTGCTAAACCGACGCCGTTTGGTGATTTTGGGACGTTAACACCTCGAATTCAAGTTTCTTAAGGAACTAGTTTGCCTAGACCGAAATCCGACTCTAACTCCTAAACCGGGAACCCGATTCGAGCCCCGTCTTCTCCTACAAGTCTCTCATGCCTAGGCGGTCGTGTGTGCCAAGTTTCGTGCTAAACCGACGCTGTTGGATGATTTGGGGCATCAACACCTCGAATTCAAGTTTCTTAAGGAACTAGTTTGCCTAGACCAAAATCCGGCTCTAACTCCCAATCCGGGTACCTGATTCGAGTCCCGTCCTCTCCCACAAGTCTCTCGTGCCTAGGCGGTCGTGTGTGCCAAGTTTCGTGCTAAACCGACGCCGTTTGGTGATTTTGGGGCGTTAACACCTCGAATTCTAGTTTCTTAAGGAACAAGTTTGTCT